ATCTTTTGCATTTATATCCGTTAAAAACAATTTTTATATAATTTTGAATCTTTATTCCTTAATGCGTCAGCGTAGTCGAGTGGTTAGCGCGCTGGGCTTCGGAACATAGCTGCCGTGGTTCGAGTCCTACCGTAGGCGACTACTGTTTTAATTTTTTTTTTTTAATTTTTTTAAATACAAATTCAAATACTTATAAAGTTTTATAGATATTGTATATAGACAACATATGTAAAAATATTATTCAAAAGTTTGATCCTCGCATTTTGACACAGAACCAACTTCGCTAACGAGAGAAAAAAAATCGTTCACAAATTTCAAAATTTTGTTTTTTCGTTGAAAGAAGTGTCTCGCAAATGCCATTTATGTTAAAGTTAGTGTTTACGCAATCAATAAGTTTAATCTTTGTATCTAGGACATTAAAAGTTATCATTTAGATGTTTTCATTTGATTGAGATTTTCTTGCGTTATAAACCGGATAATAGTTCTTATGAACTGTAACCACGCGGATAAAGTGTGCATCAATATCCTAAAGACCCGTATTTTACGGGTCATGACAGCTAGTTTATAAATAATGAGAGAAAAAAAAATCAAGTTAATTTTGAAAAAAAAAAAAAAAAAATGCACACGTACGCAGAGGAGGGGGGGGGAGGTCTTCAAAAGCATACAGGTTCGTACAAGAGGAAAGGGGGTCCTAAATCAGTGATTTTATGGTTTACGTACTTTATGGATGCCCCCTAACTTCTTTTGCTTTAAAATTTAAAAAATGGCGTCTAAAATCAAAGATTAACCTCGCACGTTATTTCGTATTTCTAGTGCCTCCCAAATTTTTTCTTTAAAATTTTTTATATTCTACCTTTAATGTTCTTGTTTTTAACCAAATATCTTCTTTGCAAAAGGTTTTATGAAATGCTGATGCAGATTGATTAGGTTTCTTTTCATTAATGCTCTTCTGATGTTGATGCATCTACTTATTTACCTGGATTTTTGTTTTACCTACGTAAACTTTGGAACAGTTGCATTTTATTATATAGGTTTTAGGCTGGCTGTTACTAGGTAGTTTTGATTTGTTCTTTGATGTCAATAAAAATTTTGAATTTGGGTTTGATGTAAATTCTGTATCTTGCTTTTGGAAGTACTTTTCGAAGTTTTGGTACCCAAGGTAAAGACACTACAGGAAAATTTTGCATTTTGATGGAAAAGTGTTTTTATTTTGTCTTTTTTGACGAAATTAATGTGTAATATTCCTCAGTTGCTTTTCATCTTACCCATTTTCAATGAACATGTCAGTTAAAAAAATTTATTTAAATTTATTTAATTATTTCTTACAACCAGTCTTAAATAAAATCTGACAGAATAAATCAGACTCTTTTGTGGTGGTTCTCATAGAACCTTTTTTTCCATGAAAATAATCCAATTAAAATGGTATTGATGATAAATCCTGCATTTAACCTAAAATCATTTTTACAATACATTGACAATAGTCATGCCAGATTTCCTAACATCAAACAAGCAAAACAATTCCAAGATAATTTAAATCAACAACATCCTGTATAGGCCAGTGGCTAAGTTTGATTATTGTTTCATGTCATTGGACAATTGTTATAAAAGAAATTTCTGTGTTGAATCAAGTGTTTTTTAGTTTATAAATCAAAAAAATATAAACATGGCTCCAGCAGTTTCTTCACAAAAGATCATTCTACTTTCCTTTATCGTGCATTATTGTCTTATAATGATTTGTCTATTGCCAATAATTATTAATTTACGGAAAATAGAAACAGAATGATATTTAAAATTTTGTATAAAATAGATACTTAAAATACTTCTGTTGCCTTTTGTTAAAATATTAACAAACAAAATGGCTGCTGCACTCTTGTGCAAAGATCTTTGTTTAATTCATTTTAACAATATCCCTAATTAATGCATTAAATAGTGCAGGTTTAAAGCTATAAAAAAAATATCTAACACCAAAAAAAGGTGGTGCAAGCTCAAAATTAAAAGTGAAATTTTATGACAGATAATGCAGAAATGCGTTAGTTTTACAATCAAAAATGCTATGAGCGCTTATGTCATGTATACAAACTTGAAAGAGCAGAAATTAGTAAACAGGTAAAAAAATTAGACTGGGAAGATGAAATAATACATATTAGACCTAATGCTGAAGATAAAACAACACAACAATTTACATCATTAGATAATGCAAATACTGATGAAATTTAGCCCAAAAGCATTGATCTCAGTGTAGGAAATTGTGAGAAAGCAGCCATTTGTGGCCAGAAATATGAATGACATGTCTAAATAAAGGAAAATGGAATAATATATACATTACATTTATATTACATTATATACATCTAGAATGCGTGAGGATGATTTTACCTTGGTATTTTGCATACGACAGAGTCAATTATGCAAGATTTTTATGCCCTTTACTAGTTGGAGATAAAAGCAATACATATCACACATCAAGGTATGTTTAAAATTTAATTTTTTGCATTAGTGTATT